TTCCCTACCCTCCTTAAACTTCTTAAACCACTCGAAAACTTGCGTGCGAGATAGACATTGATCACCATAAACTTCTGTCAATAAATTGTAAGTTTTTGTGGCAGATTTTCCTAGTTTTGTGAGGAATTTGATGTTAACACGTTGTTCTACATTAGCACGTAACATGATTCCGACGGAGCTCAGATACACGATCCGCTTCTAACAACGGCTATGACCAGACTAACCGCAGCGCATGCGTGAAACTTTTTGTGAGCGTAGAGGGGAGTCCACGAGTCAATGCCCCGCTCTCCTCTTCGTTATCGACGTGGTCGGAAATGAGGAAAAAATCAATCCAGTTTCTTTATTGCCACACCTGGTATGTGTACATAAATATTAGCTTATTCTTAATATACCATATTTACTTATTTATTATTTCTTATACTACTTTAATTAATTTTTAATTATAATTTATTATAGTACTTTTAATATACTTACGTTCTAATAATATCATTAGGTTCTCCTTTTATATAGTAAAATTTCAAATTCGGATTAATTAATGATACGTCATATCTTACGTACAGAGTGTAAACTCCACAATCTAAGTTTGTATTTTTAGGCAATAAATATTCAACAAAATCGAAAATAGCAATGTCCTCCAGATAAATAGAATTAAAATTTGGAATATGAATTGTTTCATCAAGCGATTTAAAATTCACTTCTTTTATATTCATGTATTTTGAAATATATAAAGTTATGTTTGATATTTCACAATTAATATAAAAAGTGGCATTTAACTCGCCACTGGGTGAAAATTCTGGTAACAATGAGATGTCCAGATTGTAATGAATCGGTATTATACAGTTGTTAATCGATGAATTACGGTAATTAGGTACGCTATGGCACTTTACTTTTGCGTTTTTTTTGGTAAAACTGGCCAATGCTATTACAGTGACGTATAATAATATATATAATGATAATTTTGGAAACATCATGTTGGTTTTCAGAAATCTTAAAATAAAAAATAATATCTTTGCTAATATTAAGAATAATTGAACAAAAAACATAAATAAAGAACGAGAAAAGAAAATGCAGAACGTCGACTTCTCTCTGAGAATATACAAAAAACAGTAAAACAAAAATAAAAACCCAACAAGACAAAAAATAAAAAATCTAAGATAAAAATATCATAATTCATAATAAAAATACAAAAATTAAAATTTATAATAAAAATACAAAAATAAATCTTCAAGATATAAGAATTATTAAAATTGAAAATAAAGAAAATAAAAATATCCAATAAAAATAATAAAAAAATAAAAAAATAAATAAGGAATAAGTTAGAGAAAAAAGTGCAAAAAAATACACCATTTATTTAAATATAAAATCTATCAATTTACAAAAAATGTTTATAAATAATGCAATTTATCTACTTCGACTACGGAAAATGTGTTAATTTTAATTAAAAAAGTTTGATATGATTTGCAACAGCTCTTTAAAAATTAATATACATATAAAGGCAATAAGAGCTAATTAAGTTCTTTCATTAATATTTATTTCTGGAAAAAGATTTATAACATAAAATATTAGACAGAAATAAATTCGAACGTTTCGGTTGCCTTTTTCAACCTTTTTCAGCGCATCATTTAAAATTAAAGATTAATAGAAATTAACAATCAATTATTCATAACTGTCAATACAATAAAACTATACAGAAACACAGTTATTCGCATAAAACTACGTCAAGCTATTTTTTTTAGAAAACGAAATCAACGCATTTTTAAAGCATGAGCATTTTTATATATTCTATTCCTCGAATCGTCATTCTATGTAATAGTCGCGAAACAGATTTCTCGCTAATTGTTCGGTTAGGAGGTCGGTTGCGAATCTCGATAACAGCAATTGTTATCGAAATGTTAATTTTCGTATACAATGATTTTATAGACATATTAACAATTGCTGTTATCGAGATTCGCAACCGACCTTCTAACCGAACAATTAGCGAGAGATTTGTTTCGCGACAATTACATAGAATCATAGAATGACGATTCGAGGAATAGAATATATAAAAATACTCATGCTTTAAAATGCGTTGATTTCGTTAAAAAAAAAAAAAAATAGCTTGACGTAGTTTTATGCGAATAACTGTGTTTCTGTATAGTTTTATTATATTGACAGTTATGAATAATCATTGTTAATTTCTATTAATCTTTAATTTTAAATGATGCGCTGAAGAAGGTTGAAAAAGACAACCGAAACGTTCGAATTTATTTCTGTGTGTAATATTTTATGTTATAAATCTTTTTCCACAAATAAATATTAATGAAAAAACTTAATTAGCTCTTATTGTCTTTTATATGTATATTAAAAAAGTTTGTTTTTATCAATTTTATTAATATTGTATAATATTCGATTTGAAAATAAAAATTCTTTAATTCTTTTAATTCCCAATTTAATATAGACCAATGCCTGATTAATTATAATATATATTGTAAAATAGAAATTATATAAATAAGATAAATTAATAATAAAATAATATAAATTATTTTTAATATATGTATATATATATATAATATTATTTAAAAACTGAAATTATAAATGACAAATTAGAATCACCAGTGTAAATACCAATGGAATATAATAAATGTAACTTGTAATATCAAATATATATTAAATAATTTACACTACGAAACGAGAGTTGTATATTGTTAAGATTTAACCTATATTGATTATATTTTTGTTTTTCCAAATTTAATAAGATAATATGAACTTTTGTCTTCTTATAAGCTTCTAATTACATTTCTCTGTATCATATATTTTATAATATTGTGTAAAACAACTTGATTAAGAGAGATAGCATATTTTTTTTATAAATGTTACAGTCGGAAATATATAATATATAAATTTTGCACGAAAATGTGTATAAAATAATATCTCATTTTTAAAAACTAAATATTAAAACGTTGTATTTTCAGTTATGTTTATCAATATGTTATTGTATTAGAATTATATGTGTAACTTGTAAATCATGTTTAGATAAAAAAAACGGATAATAATAAAGAATTTGCTGTTGCGAAATTAAACTCAATTCAAATTTTGTCATATATTATCTTACGACAAATCTGAACTTAAAAAAGCGAATATTTATTATCATTTGTCATTGTAGAAACATTTGTTTAAAAAAAAAATTAATATCCATATTTGTTTTTTTCTTTATAATTATGACATATTTAATTTGTAATAACGTTCCAAAAAAATTAACTTTCGATATCTATTAGAGCTAAAATAAATTAAACAAGTATACTCAATTTGTTATAGGATATAACAAATTAAAAATGTTTTTACAGAACCTAAATGTTTTCAAATATATTATGGCAGAGAATAAAGATAATTGTTGAAATAAAAAGTATCATTTTCTCTAAAAAACTAAATAAAATATTCTTTAAAAAATAAAAACTCTGCAATTGTATGTTTTCTACATATTTTATATACATTTATTTCAAAAGAATTATTAAAATATTATGTATTTTACAAACCTTTATCTTTTGTTTGTTCAATCACAGGCGTTATTTTAACCAAAAGTGTGTTGCTCAATCTTAATTTCGCTTTCTCGAGAGACTATCGAAGACTGACAACGTTTGCGATACAAAATGAAATACGTAAATAAATCTACAAGGTTACATATAACAAGTCTTATTCCATTGTTACTAGATCAATGGAAGTTAAAACACAATTGAACAGTTTCCAAAAGATACTTTGAATTCAACATTTAAAATTGCCTCGAAATTAATAAGCATACAAGAAATTTAATCAGGAAATTGTATTGTATACATTAAGAAAGTTGTATTGTTTAATTTTCACTGAGTTTTGTACAAATATTGTACATCATTTCATATTTGTCTTTTTACGTGATTTTTGATACTTATATAATTCTTTAAGAAATCAAATTGCACTAAATTTAATAAAAAAACCTTCTCAGTTTGATGAAATAAATCTTTTTGTTATAATGGTACCTGCGATTAGTAAATAAAATAGAAATACCTTAATATGATATAATAATAATACAAGACGGAGGGAAGAGCTTCTTATAGAAGTCCTGCCCAAGGCATGCAGACCAATAGTCCATTGTCGTTAATAAGATATGATTATATAAAAATTAGTTTTAAAAAGCATAGTCCTAAATGATAAAAATGTTTATGGAGGTAGCTTGTTTTATAAAGAATAAATTAACGGTATTATATTATTCGCCCAATGTTATGTAGAAAATATGAAAAGAAAGGTACCAAAAACGTTTAAGAATATAGATTTTTGGCATTAAATGTAGGATTACATTTTAGTTTCATTAATATAATATTTGTTATTCTTACAGATTTAATAATTAATATATAAAACTTTAAATACATTAACAATAAAATATAGTAATATTATAAAAATTAATATAAAATATCAAATAAAAAATTTTATTTTAATAGTTGAACTATTGTTAATATTATGTAAATATATTAATTAAATAATAAATATTTTTATTAATATATATATTTATGTTTTATTATTTACTACATATAGATCATATGTATATGTATATGTATATAATGTATGTGCATATTACATAATAATAATTATATAAAAGTAATCAATGTTTATATAAATATTGAAATAAAAAGTATAAAAGTCGTTATAACATTTATGATAATAATATATAATTATAAACAATAAAAATAATTAAAATCAATAAGTATAAAATATTGTCGTATAATATGTTAAAATAAATATATAAAAACTTAATATACAATTTTATATAATATTTTGGAAAATTTCATAATTGAGGTAGTTTTGCAGTTTTATACTAATTTGTAATTATAATTATTGTAATTTATGTCTGTGTTATGCATGTTGTTGTATTCAACGTACCTAATACTACATTTACAGTTGACCAAATTGAGTTATTTGAGCTAATTACATTTATAAATTATACCGTACCGAACTTATTGGTTTCTTTGATCAAATTTTGAAAAATCTCTCTGAAGAACTTTAATCTGTATTAAACGTTTTGCAGCCTTCTGGTCAACTTCTGGAAATAATTGTTGCATATGTTGCTTCGCGAATGCAGATATCTGAAATAAATTTTTATTTATTATTATTAATCAGTAATTTCATAATTAATCACAAAATATCAATACATACGTACACAGGTATGTAAGAGAAAAAGAGAAAACATTGTATCTTGTACATTGTAATCTCTCTCTACATTTAATGAAAATATATATATGTAATATATTACGCAAAAATATGTATAATTTTTATTAGTTATCTATTATATAGTGCAATCTAGCTATTATATAGTGCAATTTACAGTTAATTATATACGTAATTTTATATATTTTGTTACATTATACATGCAATATATGATATGGCGGAATACATTTCGATTAGATATAAATATTAGAGTGAGAATTTTACTAATTTTACAAATAAAAATATAAATTTTTTTGAAATTTATAAGCTTTACCTGGTCAAGTTGATTTACAGAGTATGCATTATTAATAAGAACAATTAATGCTGCAGTGCTATTGATATGGCTAAAAAATTAAAGCAATATATATATATATATATACATACAATATATCAATATATAGAGAAGAATTATAATTAACACATACATATTGATTAAATTTTTATCAATATAACTAGTATGTTTTATAAAGAAAATGTGTGCGTCCGTGTGCAATATTTACCTAAATTTTATATTATCAAAATTTGTTAATATTTCTCGAAGCATTGTATTATTTTTAGTATGTGTCGCAAGAATAGAGAAAAAAACTTTAGTATATATTTTACGCTGTTGATTTTTTATCACTTCTTGCATTTCATTATTTATACTATTAAAGAACAAATCCATTTCAAATCTCCTTAAAGCTGACTGCAGATAAATAAGAACTTGGTGATTCTCGGTGCAAGTAAGAAATTCAAACATTGTATAATCAGATTCTTCTTGGTATTTAGTAGTTGCTTCTGTCCATACTTGTTTCAAACAGTGTAGTTCGCTCTTTTTAAACCATTACAATATGTCCATTTATGCCATTCAGGTATTATTCTACAATGTACAGAAAAGAAACATTTTTATTTTGACACGTTTCCATGGTCGTTATATTTAGCATAAAGGTTTTAATAAATATTAAAGGAAAAAGTTCATATGCATTTACATATATACCATATACATATATATGCAAATAAGATACATATATTTTTTCATGATTATTATAATCCTGCCTGTATATAGAAACAATATTATGAAGAACAATGTTAAAATAATTAGAAAAATAATGTTAATACATGACACACACAACTAAAAATTATTTTAAACCAAACAAATTATTTTAAACCAGACAAATTGTTTTTTATGGATATTTGGGTGCTACAAATTTCACTAGTATATAAAATTTCCATTAAAAATGGTTTTTCTTGCAATATTTGATCTTTTGTAAAAAAGGTTAACGTTATTTAGAACGTCTGATTAAATATCATAAATGTATTAATTACCCTATAAAAGCACATTAACTTTTTCACCAAAAAAAAAAACGCGAAAAAGTATTCTTTTACATATTAAATCTCAATTTATTTAGAACCTGCCGTACTAGTGAAGATTGCAAAATCGTAAAATTTAAAGAAATCTGAAAATAAATTGCTAATCTATAGAACAATATGTAATTTAAATATGATTGTTCGTAGTCAATCCCTCATTTAATTTCTGCGAGTATTATTTTATGTAAAAACAAAACAAGAATTATTCTTATTCTAGAAATTTTTTAATCATCTAACTAATTTACTTAAATACTAAGAACAAAATTGATAGAAATTGAACAAGTAAAAAGAGAGACGTTATGGAGATATTTATATATATATATTTTGAACATATATGTATATTGATATTCGATATATATATATATATATATATATATATATATATATATATCAAATTTGTGTGCACAGTATTAAAGTGTCAACACAAAAATATAACGAAAGACTTACTTATATTTATCACGATTTCTTAGATGCAATTCCAATTGATGTTTGGCCATTTCTAAACAGTGAACATTCTCGACGATGCATCCCAATTTTGAAAGTACCAAGTTCAAATAATTATGTAGTTTGTAACGGTTCTCGTCAAAATGTATCGCTTGATCGTATTTACTTCTTCAAACAAACTTTTATTTTTAATAATACTTCCTGCAAAATTTGGTAAAAGAAATAAATTTTTATTTCTTGCTTAGATGATTGTACCATTAGCAAGATAAAAGTGAGATAATAATACATAAAATTCTAAATGTAAAATGAAGATAATTTTATTTTAAATATATCTAGATAAAAAATAAAATTATATAGTGAATCATCTAGATAATTTTCACAGATAATATTATTTTAATTCACTTATGTAAATATAGTTGTAAAAAAATATAAATTATAAAAAGAGTATAAAATTTATTCACACACACATACTTTTATTAATAAGTTTTTATCGGTTACTTTTTTTATGATCGCTACTAATAAGTTACTTATATACTTTATATATTATAAGTACTTATATAATTTTATATGCTATGACTTTAAACCAAATTATCTGAATATTATTCTAGATAATCTAATAAAACTTTTTTTCTAAGATGCAGATATAGATAATACATATTTACATTATTTATATAAAAATTAGATGATGTCAAAATTTCATCTAGATGATCATCTATATAATTTTATTTAGAAAGCAGCAAACATTGGTTATTTTCTAAGAAATTATATCAGAATTATTATTTAAAAATTGGTCGTATGCATCCTAGTGAGAAATGATGGTCGAATCGACGTCGATTCGTTGTCGAATATAATAATTAATAATCAATATATAATGATAATCTGACTGATAATTGCATGTAAACTGATAATACCTTTAGCACATTGGAAGTTCTGGCGCATTTGAGAATGGAAATATTTGCAACATATATTGAAGAATTTTGATCATAGGATACCATGCTATGTAATTTGTTTCTCTTCTTGGTAAGTAGCTTGTGAGTTCCCAGAATATGGAGAAATTCAGTTTTCCTTGTATTGCGAAATAGAATGCATCATCGATGATTTGCGCCCGATTAAGAACATGAATATTTGTATATTCGTCAGAATTCAAGTAATGGGCAATTTTTCGCCAATTTTCAGGATCATAATTGACGCGATAGTATCCTATATTGTTCAAAAAATATATTTAATTGTAAAATATTTTAAATATTATATACAGGATGTTTGGTAACTAACGGACCAATGATTAAGGGCGGATTCTTTGGCCAATTTGGAGACGATTTTTCCTTAGCAAAATGTTGAGAAGTCAATAATTTTTGAGTTATAAGCGATGGAAAAAAATGGGTTTTTGAAAACTAAACGTTTTGGAGTTAAAAGTCTAACATAATTACATTCTTCAGTTAATTGCAGGTAAAGTTCCTATATAATCTCTAAAAACTCACCTTTAAAAAAAGGTAAAAAAAGGCGACCAGTTAAGGGCACGCCATTAACAAAAATTATCCATTGCAAACCCATGTAGAATCCTATCCTATTGCAAACTCATATAGAATCCTATGAAAAATTAATCATTGCAAACCCATGTAGAATCCTAGGCAAAATTAACCATTGCAAACCCATGTAGAATCGTACCCATTGCAAACCTATGTAGAATCCTATGAAAAATTAACCATTGCAAACTCATGTAGAATCCTATGAAAATTAACCATTGCAAACCCATGTAGAATTGTATTAAAAATTATCCATTGCAAACTTATGTAGAATCCTACATTGCAAACCCATGTACAATAGAATTGTATGAAAAATTATCGATTATAAACCCATGTACAATCGTAACAAAAATAATGAAATAAAAAAAAATTGCGCCAAGTGAAAGTAGAAACTTGTACCAGTGGAAAATTAAAGTTGCAGACATATATAGAGTCGTATAATGAATCAGTAAAAATTTAAATTTGCAAATGTAGAATCGTACCATAAAAAAACTTATCTTTTAAAAAGATAAACAAGATGCCAAGTCCATGCGCCATGTGAAAAAGAAATAAAAAATTTTAGTTAAAAAACTGGGCGCTGCTAAGTTTCAAAATTACAATGCACCTTAAAGTAACATTAATTAATTTAAACACAAAACATATTTTAACTGTAATGAGTTTAAAAGTAACAATTTAATTTTAATATTGTTAGAATATTATTTAGCAGCGCTCCCAGTTTTTTAACTAAAATTTTTTTATTTCTTTTTCACATGGCGCATGGACTTGGCATCTTGTTTATCTTTTTTTTTAAAAGATAAGTTTTTTTTATGGTACGATTCTACATTTGCAAATTTAAATTTTTACTGATTCATTATACGACTCTATATATGTCTGCAACTTTAATTTTCCACTGGTACAAGTTTCTACTTTCACTTGGCGCAATTTTTTTTTATTTCATTACTTTTGTTACGATTGTACATGGGTTTATAATCGATAATTTTTCATACAATTCTATTGTACATGGGTTGCAATGTAGGATTCTACATAAGTTTGCAATGGATAATTTTTAATACAATTCTACATGGGTTTGCAATGGTTAATTTTTCATAGGATTCTACATGAGTTTGCAATGGTTAATTTTTCATAGGATTCTACATAGGTTTGCAATGGGTACGATTCTACATGGGTTTGCAATGGTTAATTTTGCCTAGGATTCTACATGGGTTTGCAATGATTAATTTTTCATAGGATTCTACATGGGTTTGCAATAGGATAGGATTCTACATGGGTTTGCAATGGATAATTTTTGTTAATGGCGTGCCCTTAACTGGTCGCCTTTTTTTACCTTTTTTTAAAGGTAGATTTTTAGAGATTATATCATTCATTTTTGTATTTTTATGACCGGAATAGAACAATTATTAAACATGTTTATCTAAACTTCTTTGCTTAAAATGATGTGTACAATCATATCCTAGAATCCTGATCATTCCTCCTAAAGCACCCTATTTATATAAATTTACCCATATGTGGGTGTGTGTGGTGTGTGTGTGTGTACTAATGTCGAGCATTTTTTATACTTTTCTATTAAATTTAGATAAAAGTTGCAGGATTTCGAAAAAGAAAAAGTTGACACAGACTTTTTCCTAAACGGCGATTTTCAAGGTTATTTAAAGGTCACTTATATTTTCAAAATAGAATTACCTTAATTTTTCTCATATAAATCGATTCCTCGCAATATTTACTATAAAAAGTTGTAAAGGTATAATTTTTACATAATCTTACATAAACTTCGAAATATTACAAATATTTTATTTTATGAAATATTTCAGTTTATGTAAAATTATGTTAACTATCTTTTAAATTATTCACTTTTAGCCATCTTACCCTTACAACCTTTTATAGTGAATATTGCAACAAATTGGTTTATATATATAATATATATATAACATCAGTTATTATTAATGATGTTTACATTTATTTTTAGACTTACTAGAGCTCAAATGCTCCACATTTTTTGCAAAAACTGTTTATTCTACAGATTTCAAATATGCTTTTAAATGATGATTGAATATTTCCTTTTTTTAATTATTTTTATTATTATTTTTCAATCTCAATCAACTTTTATAACTTTATGCCAGCACGATACAAATACATGTGTCTTTATTTTTTTTATTATTTTCATTATTATTTTTCAATCTCAATCAACTTCTATAACCTTATGCCAGCAGGATACAAATACATGTATGTCTTTATTATTGTATCAACTCTTGTCTTTTCCATGTAACCATGTCTTCATAGTTTGAATTATCCCTTCATCTCTCCAATCTTTCGCAGAGATTTAATTATTAAATACACTTCACACGAAATAAAGTTTGCTGAAGATATACACAAACGATAACTGTAAAAACAA